GGACTTTCATCCACTGCACGTAAACACAATGTGGAGGGATACGCTTAAAGTAATAATCTCAAAGATTTTCATTTAAATAAATGTCTGTTAGGTCACACAGTGGTGATTGCGCCCGTGGTCCGCTGATTAAAGCCCCATGCATTCTCGAGGGAAAGTTAACACAACAGACTGGCTCTTCAGCTCGCTTGCGTCTGAGGCGACGCACAGTAAACCTATGACTGATCAAAATAAGAAAAGTTTGATGACGTGACACTGGCAACACTGTTTGAATCTCTGGGAGAGTGAGGTCCAAAAAGACACCTGCAATTACCGCTTATTGCCGAAGAGAACAAAACAGATCTTGAAGATTGTTCCCTTTTAAAAAGAAGGATTTGGAAATTGGTTGTAATTAATCAAAGTGTTTTCTAGTTCTTGTTGAAATAATTAGGTCATTAACAAATGTAATTTACTTTCTGGATGCCGTCAATAACCTTTTGAACTTATGGGGCAATATCACAATATTCTGAGTTACCTACTCTTCCTCTCTGTGACACTGGTAGTCCAGTTTTTCATGGACATATTTGTCCTTCCTTTCATGACATGCAGTCATTTTTCATCCCTTGAGAGGAGCGTTGAGATGAATACCATGAAATGAGACATATTTCAAGTAGGCAATAACATTTTTCATCCTTTGTGTATCTTCATGTGATAGTGTGAAATGTGACACTGGCAAACATCTATGCTTAAATTATATGGCTATAGTCATCAGCTGTTAGCTTAGCATTAAGACTAAGGGAAAAATTGAGGGGTGCTGGTAGGAGGATTTTGTTACTTTTGGATGAAGCCAGGGAAGCTGTTTCCCCCTTTTTTCAGTCTTTATGCCAAGCTAATCTAACCGGCCACTTGCTCCACCTACATATTTACTGTACAGACATAAGAGTGGTATTGATCTTCTCATCTACCTACTGGCAAGAAAACAAATAAGCGTTTTCCCCAAAATGTCGAACTGCTACGTTAATGCAAATCAGTTTGTGTTGACTGTAAAAAAGGCTAAGATTTACTAGCATCTGCCAACTTTTCCATTTTTGCTCCCTTTAATAGAGCCTAATGTTTACCCTTTTATTAGTATGGAACATCTCTCTGCTCTCTATTTGTATGACCCGCAAGCCACAGTTTGTTTCTATGGCAACTGATGGTGATGCAAAATGGAAATCACTTCCTGATTTTCCCTGTATCCTTCCTAGACCCATCCACTTAATTGTTGGTTCACTCACTCACACACTAGACCCGCAATTTTCCCCCTTTTCAGCTGTCAGTGGAAACTACTGGCTGTGTCCTTCAAGATTTCCTAAATTATTTTGCACTGACATCGATCATAACCGCTAGGGTGTTCAAGAAGAGAATAAAATACAGTCTTCTCTGTTATGTCACATTCCCAATTATATACCGGGGCTGGTTTGATTCCAACTTGTGTGCTAATCTTGAAGGCAAAACAAATCCCTAATAAGCACTCCAGCAAAGGTCTTGTCTCAAAACATTCCCTTTCTGAATTTCTAGTAGGTGAAATACGGTTATGACATTTACCAAAAACATTTCACAACTTCAGAACACGGGGAATCTTCACTTCATTGAAGCCCATTAGTGCCCCACAGAAAAACAAGTCTTCTAGCACCATCCATTTATATTAGTGCAGGCGAGTTTGTATCTTGAAATATGTTTGCAGTGTACACTCATGCTTGTGGGGATGTCTGTAAACCTCGCATTATCTCCACAGAGCCTCTGAAGTTTTTAGAATATGACTAATACATGAAGAATTCATAAAGCTTGCCAGATTCTTTCTGGACGCTTAAACCCTGTTGCTGATTTGCTCTTTTGAAGTCTTTCTGCTTGGCAGTGAGTCTCATTAACAGGGCTGTTTCAACAGGGCTCACTGGTGTGGGAGTGTATTGTATAGGAAGAGAGGGACACTGGAGAACGGAGATCTATTGGCATGGAAATCAATGGTTATCATGTCAGGCAAATGCTCGCTCCTCTCATTCGCCGAGTCAGGACTATTGGAAAAGACATATGGTGTTTGATTATTGCTTAGGCCATTTTTATCTCTGAAAAGCTTTCTGCACCTTGATGTGTGTCTCTGCACGTATTTCATATTGTGATTCGCTGATTTTACTGACAAAAATTGAAATAGTCACTCGTTTTTTTCAGCACACGGCAATAACTAAATGATGAATAGACACCATGAGACAGCAGATAGATCAGGCACTGTGGAATTTAGATGTACCCTGAAGAGCTTTTCACTTACACATTAATACACACTGGTGTCGTTAGTGTAATTGATCTTTTAAGAGAGACTACAGTACACTGCAGTGTTTGGTTCATTAGGTGTCTGCGATGATGCTTTGTTTTGATTAGAATTCCCCATTCATTATCCCAAGTATGTCTTTTTTTTCCTCCACCAACTTTACAAGTGTGTTTATCAAGACTGCATTTTAATGAGATTTTAAGCCACGTATCATATTTAATTTTCATCTTTTACTGAGCTGTGTTAGATCTACGTGGAGTAAGTCTCCTCCAGGTGACACTACTAGGAGGACAAATTCACTTAATTAGCTCTCAGTAACTCCCACAACAAATTGGGTGTTTACAGGTTTGGAATATGATACAATTCAGCTTTGTTTTCCCACAAAAGTGACACCCTTTAATGCGTTTCAAGCCATATTTTTGTTTTTGATCAGATGAAAACAAATGGTGTTGATAATAATATCACTGGGCAGCTGCCAGTTACAGTAACATATATTTAACTCGAGTGCAAACATCTGTTTAATAGGTTTTCATTTGCAGGATGAGAATAGCCAGCTTTTCAGACGCCAAACTCAAGATGTCTTTAGAAGTGATTTCCCTTCATTTCAGGCTCTTTGTGTGGGTTGTGTTGATTTTATGTTGACATTTTGTTGATCTTCATCTTAGAGATATTAAATAGCTGAATAGTTTTAAAGCAAACAAGCCATGTTTGAATAGGAGTTGTTTCTTTGGCCATAACCATTGCTGGAACATTTTGATTTGTTGCATTTTGCCGTTTGGTTTGTTTACATTTACACCGCCTGATTACAAGTCAACCAGGGCTTGTAAACAGAAGTTACAGTAACTTTTGGTTAACCTTGTGACATTCCTGAGGTGGGAGGAGCCTAAATCTAATTTACACTTGGCGTTGAAATGCAATTAGTGTTCTAGATATGTTGTCTAGATAATAACATCTAATCAAAGGCCTTTGCATTTACACCTGGCATTAATTAGCGTTGTCATTATCTAGATTCTGTCCAACTAGATCTCATTATACAAATTAAATAGGTGGAGCTGTTGGACTAATTCATGGTGGTCGGCTGATTTTTGTTGCCTTTGCTCAGGAACTGATCTCGACCTTTCTGCAGGGCCTGAAATACAAAGACCAGGAGGAGTGAGAGGACATCTCAGCGTGTGAGGCAGATATTCTTTATTAAGAATATGGCTGAATTTGATCCCCTAACAATATCACAAACTATTTCATGCAGCTAATTTTTTTTTTTTAAATGATATGTATTTGGTTATAAGATTAGCTTACATTCCTTGTTAGAGTATTCTCTCCCCTACATTTTAAATATAACACAATATGAACACTGGTTTTGTTACTCTGTCTAAACATGAGTCGCTGCTGGATCCCTGCAGCTTAAGGTGTTGAGGTGGTGCACTTCATTGATGGTCGCCCGTTATTGAATGTCTTTGTTCTCCCTAGCTCACAAGCAAACTGAAGGCATAAATGTTCCAGAGCTCCAATAAGCTGCACCAAACATGCTTAATCATGGCCTGAGATTGGACAGAGCCACGGCAGAGCAGTTCTAGTGTGTGTAAAAGTAAAGTTAAGTACAGGCTTGAGAAATGGACTTAGCAGCCTGATAAACATGCTTGTGCCATAAACCTGTCATTCCCTTGTCACTGCAAAGGCAAACAGAGAAAAGACTGGGCCCGCTCTCCTTTTAGCGAATGACAAGATGACAGTCTTCAACTGGTTGGATGGCAGGGACACATTGCGTGTTGCTGACAGTGCTCAACATATATTCTTGATAAAGTCATCAAGACCCTGTGCTGTTTATCGATACTGCTCTTTGTAGAAGATTAGAAAGACATATTGTGTCAATACATACACTGTATGTATTTATATGCTGCATGTACATGTTTAGACCAATTTACAACCACATTAAGCAAAAAAAATCAGCATTATCAGAAAAATCAGATATCAGAATTTAAATGTGTTCTCATGATACCATATTAGAAACCGTAATATCAATCACATGAAATCATGTAAGATAGGTCTGATCTTCAAAACAAACAATAAAGCAACCTTAAGTGATGTCAGTGGACATCCTTGTTTGTTTCCTTGATGGTGTTTAATCTTTATTCGGAGTCACAACAATAAAAAAACCTTAAAATCACAACGATGAAGCACTTCTAATTTTGACTCTGCAGAAATTGGCCTGACACGACTAACAATGGCTGGAGCTCAAGCACTCGACAGAGATATAGTATAGTATAAAGAAGAAGAAGAATAGTTTCTTCCCAAAAGAAAAACACAGTATTTCATGGATGGAACAGTGGTTTTTGATGTTGAAACACATTTTCTGTCTTGCCATTGTTTGTATGGATTTAGCTGAGCATTTCTGAATCAGACAATAGTATTATGGTTTCACATCACTGTGCTCCACTCCTTTTGTATTTTTACCAAAGCTGGGTCAAAATGTTAGTTGAAATCCCCGTGGGATTACCAACAGAAGTAGCATTTTCAGTGAGTGCTTACAGGCCACTCGCAAAGGCCAATTTAATCCATTTGAAAATGTTAGCCTTCATCATCTGGCTTCACAAAGACTGAAATTTATTTTATAATGAAGTCAGAATTTGCCTTTTAGTGATTCCCCTTATTAACTCTAAGGGTTTAATAACAGCATTTCAGTCTGATTGTGATATTTTCTGCTTTGTTTTTGTCTCTGCAGTCCCTCCTGTGCTGTCAGTGTCCCAGCAGTCCTTCAATGCCACAGCTGACTACCAGGAATCAGTCACCTTTACTTGCATCGCCTCTGGATCTCCTGACCCTGTGGTCACATGGCACAGGTACCTTCTCCTCCCTAATACCTAGCATTGCTCTCTGACATACAGCTCAGAGAGGTATTGGAGGAAAAAAAACAGACTGAAAATTGTTTGGCTCTCACAGATGAAGGATGGATATAAACACAAGTGAACACCATAATATTAAACCCATTCTGTTGCAATATCATGGGCGTTAATCTGCCTGCTACAACCTCTCTTTTGGGAAGAATTTCCACAAGCTTTTGGAGCCTGGCTGCAGGGATCTGCTCCCACTCATGCCAGTAAAGCATGAGTGAGGTAAGGAGCTCTAATGGCCTACCTTGTATTGGTTGAGAACAGGGCTACCTGCAGGCCAGTCAAGTCCTTCCACACCAAACTGGGAAAAAACATATTTTATTGACCTGGCTGTGTTACAAACCATGTTAAACAGCAAAGGTTACTTTTATGCTTTTGTCAGTCATTTCTTTGAACAAAGCTTTCTTCCTCACATTCAAATATTACACAGCATCAAGTCGCCATGAGCTCAGAATAAAACCTCTGCATGTCCTTTTTACGAGTGGAAAAACAAGAGTCTCTGAAGTAGCTGAAATAAAGCCACTGGATGATGTTGAGCCTAGATGCAGATGTAAACAATGTAAAATCTGCTGTATTTTCAAATCACAAGCACATGATTACTGCATCGGTCAGTTCCACGGTAATTGTGAAAACTGAATACTGAATAACATAATTTGTCACAATCGCACAGCAGCAGTAATCATAGTTTGCTTACTTAATACTTCTAAAATGCAGCAGTTCGTTGTCAACATCTGTTGTCACTCACTTCGGTTGTGTTGTGACTTTTTCACCCTACCTTTGTGCTACTACCCATCATCATTACCACTGTATTCATTTTTATTTATGTCTATGTATGTATGTACAAACCGCCCACACATGTACTGTACCATTGTAATTTCTGGGTCATGGATCAAGTAGATATTCTTTGACAGTTTTAGCTGAGGAATTTATAGTCTGCCCTCGCACATTGCCCAAAGGATCCACACAGTAATATCGCATGCCGCATAGCAACAGTGTGAACATTTACACCTGAAGAGCATTTGACACCTCACCATCCACTCTACACCTCGATATCCAGTAATTAGCTCGCACCCACTCAGTAGACAATCGTGACAAGCCTTTTTACACCTTAGCATAATAATACTTTAGTGTTCATACTTTTTTCCCATAATACACTTATTTGTTCTGATAATTCATCCTAATGGGCCATAGTTGTGTTGCTGTATGTTTTAGCCCATTTAGTACAAATCAATTGTATCTTACATTGCTGCTGACTGTCTAAAGCATACTGTAGTGTTTTCGATTTTCGAATGAGCACTTCCTTCCTTTAAGGCAGCAATTCATTTCACCACTTTCTCGAAGTAATCCATCAACGTAAGGATAAAGATAGGAGTCCAGTTTGTTGTTTTTTTATGTTTCAAACTTCCTTTGTCATTGCATGATAATGCAGTAGGGGGTTATAAGCCCTACCCACACCTGCATTATTAAGCAAAAATGCTGTCAGATATTGTTTTAACTGATACCTCAGGCTGGTTTCTGTAAGTTGTTTTTCATGCTGTACTGAAATGTATGGAAATCAATGGCTGCCCTTAAGGAAGTATAGGAAAATACATTAAAAACATCTAAATATGCTTTGGAAAATTGGTTAAAAGTAAGTTTAAGTTGTAGTGAAGGGCCTAAAACATGCTAAATATAGCATCATTGTCTTAAAATACCGATATTGCTAAGTCACAAGTCTGTTTTTCAATACTTATAGCTCCAACAATAATGGTGGGAAAAAGCCTAGAGAATGGTGGCTGGTAAAATAGCACATAATGACACATAGCAAGTGAAGTCTTGAACACCCACACTTAGCTTTCATTCTTAGCAGTTTCAAGTTTTTATTTTTTTTCTTTAGCTACCATGTTTTGTTGTCTTGAAGAGTTAGATTGTGTTTTTTATTTTTTATTTTGTAAAACAGGTTCAAGTATACACGTTGTTACCAGCAGATATAATCCAGAAGCACAGTCAGAACTGCCTGAGAAAAAGAAAGGCAGTTTATGAAATAAATATGAATTGAGTTTTTTCATACTGACATACTGCCAGACAAAGGTCCAGTGCGTAACATTTAGTAGAATCTACTGGCAGAAATGGCATATTATATAATATTCAAAGGTATGTTTTCATTAGTGTATAATTACCTGACTGTTCTAAAATCTCCAGATGGGAGTGGGTCCTCTTTCACAAAGGCTGCCAGATAGGTAAACTGGCTCTAGATAGGGCCTTAAGCTTAAAACAAAAATATAATATCAGTCTTACACATAAAGCAAGAAAAGGAGCGTATACAAAGATGTTGAATAAGTCAGAATATGTGTATTGAAAATCCCCTTTACAATATTCATCAAGGCCACCTCAACCTAAGAAGTCACATGTTCCACTATTTAATCTGATGAAAGAAGTCGCTCATGGCAGAAACAACGATGCACATGCACTCTGATTCATCTTGCTCTCGGGTTTTCAGCCCCCACAGCAGAAATTATATTTACTGCTGGGTGTGTTACCTTGTCTTTCAGCAACAGAACAAACCTGGAAAATTAGATTGTAATGATTTAACAGCATGCATAATATGACACTGCAAATTTCCCAGTGATGATGGGTGTAAACTGATTCGTTTTTACTTTCATATTGAGACTATGCATGTGACAGCTTTTTCCTAGATAATGATTCCACACAGTCTTTTTTTGGATCATAATATTAAATTGAGTTATGTTTGGCGTGGTAATTACAAAAGGTAATTGAAATGAGAAACCTGTTCATGTGAAGAAAATGATTGTGCTTTTGTTTATCCATCTACCCAGACTTAGAGTGAAAGCTAGTTTCAATTTGCCATTTGAGTATTTTTTCACCAGAAAGTGGTACAGCAAGATTGAGAAGTTTATAAACAAACAAAGTAAGATTATATAAAACTAGATGCTTCCTCCAATTTGGACTCTCCAGTTCTTCATTCCTTCAACCCTTTCAGGTGGCTTGCTATTGGTCATGAGTTATTATTAATGATATAGAGCTCTGCAGAGATTTTCAAGTAAATAGCCAACTCATGGAATATTGTAGGTTTAACGTTTCATTTAAAAATGCAATCGCTAACAAGTGGCTAAATGAGACTGCAGAGGTTGTCAGGGACATTAAATGTTGAACACTTAAAGCTTAGTGGTGGTAGCGTTTAGTCATGCGACCATGCAGTTTGTTTATAGCCCAACTTTAGCTTTTTACTTCTGCCGGTTGCATTTAACCTTTAAAAATCATTGTTGTGTTCTTTTGTGGAGACTCCCTTACTGAACAAAATGTGTGAGTTTCATAAAACCTGTGTTTGCCACAGATATTATTTTCTGCAATGGAAACTTTTTGTGGGAGGAACCAGGGCAATGTCATCGCTTCAACGCTCTATTAATGTCTGTATGGCATGATGTTTTGTTTTGGTACCATTTCACAAAAACTCTGCCTTAAAGGAAAATCTTTATTCATGGTAATCCCGCCTCTGAATACTATCTTATGTAAAGAACTTGTCAAGGGCAGACAGCTGCCTCTTATAGCATCACTGTAGTGTGTACAAGTGTACATCAACACTGATCTTAAGCTCTTCAGTGTCACTCTTCAGCTCTGACTGTCAGACATTTCGGTGTGTTCTCCTTCATTTCCCAGGTCAATAAACCCTGCGTGTCAATCCCACACTGCAGAATTAAAATGGGTTCATCTCAACAAAAGAATCGGCTTAGGAGTAAACAACAATCACAATCCAATTTAGTTTTCCTTTTGATGTCACCCCTCCCAGCGTCCTCCAGCATCCCCAGTTGCATTTCCTGTCAGTGCGAGGTTTCGCTTCGTTCTCTGTGCATCTTGGGTAATGGACTACCTGTCAGCAGTCAGTCAGTATAATGACATTCAGTGCTGCAGCCCGTCCTGCACTGTCCGTTCCAAAGATGAGGCCTCTCTTCATTTCCTCTTTGGCTCGCCACAGTTATTATTACTTGGCTTTGGTGTTTCCTCCGTCGACTTTCAATTATCCTCCCTCTCACTTTTCCTACAGTACAGTGAAGCTGGGGCCTGGGCTTCGCTACACAGCATTACTGTGTTTGTGTCTGAGTCTAAGAAATCTGCACATTTGAAATCCCCAAAATAATAATAGTGTTTTTATTTTTCATTCACACAGTTGGCTATACAGTCTGAGATATATAGAGAAGTCTCTAAATATATTTAGAGGTATGCATTATTCAAAGCTCTGTGTTTCATTTGCGTTGCGTTTTAAATTCAATAGACACAATAGCTTATGAGGTTACAAAACAGGATGCAAGGTTGGGATTGAGTGCATTATCATCCATATTGAATAAACAGGTAAACAATAAGCAGGTTTTCATCCCTATTCTTCATATTTCATAATTAAATTAGTATTCGGGTGGATAATAATAAATTGCAACTGATAATACTGCTATCCAAGCTGTAACCAGTAAACATTAGCTTCATCTTTTTCTTGGTATTCTTTTATACAAAATGATTTTATTTTTAAGAACTTCTCTCTCTCATCCAGCTACATACGCTCACCTGAGGATCTGCCCGTATAATCACCACTGGTCACGGAGGCAGCTGGAGGTTAACTGCCTTGCTCAAGGACACGCAGATTGTAGTTTTTTTAGGGAGAGGAGAACATTACTTATTTAATTCACCGATCTGGCTGATCCAAAGGTTCAAACCACATATCACCCAGCCACAACACAAGGCTGCATCTCTGACCTGGAGACAACTAGAACATCAACTGTCTGTTTCCACCGGATCAATTTGCAAATATCTTCTCTAACTTTGGCTTCTTTCTTAAAAGGATAGTTTGCTTTTCTAGATAATGTAACACATTCTTCTACTTTGTTTCCTCTTTTACATATAAGGTTGGTTCGTGGATACTTTTTATCTATCCGTACAGATGCTGAAATGATCGGGTGATAATTCTCTGTTGCTGTGGCACTACCCCCTTTCACATTGCATATCGTCATTTGACACATTGTTGGTATAGAAATATTGATCAGTGCAGCTTTAAGAACTTTCTATTTCAAAATTCAAATTCATATTTGTCCTACACGCCTGTGGACGCAGGTAAACAAAATAAGAAATCAAAAATTTTAAGTGAAATTAGCGACTTTGTCTGTTTGTTTGTTAACTCTCCATGCATCTTTTGAGGTAAAAGAAAAAAGTTTAGAGGTGCATTAGCTTTTGTTGATCACAGTCATGGAGCTAATACTTTATCCTGCATCCAGATGGCATAAAAAAGCACCCACGAGTTTGTCTAAATCTGTGTAAGTAAGAGAAAAAAGTCAAATGCCCCCAAAATTGGCGATCCCTTTAACCTTATAGATTACACGGCTGGTTAAGCTGCAGTAAATAAACAAGCGGGGGAGGCTGCGAACCTGCTTTACACCATTATGCTTCTGCTATGAAGCTTAAATATAGACATGGATCAATTTAGCTGTTGCTTTTTTCTGACTAATTTCCCTACAGAGTCCAATAAGGAAAGGCATTAAGTCAGCACTGCATTCCACACCACACCGGAGTCATTTAGTGAGTGCTGCAGTCCATAACAGAATGTACACAACAACACAAGTGAGCTCTGACGAGACTCGAGCATTAACGAGGATATGAAGAGCCTATTTTTCCACATGGCAAAGTTTGAAAAGTCGTAGCATTTGAAGAATTTTGATGACATGCTACAAATGATGCGCTGAACTATTTCAAGTATAGAATGATATGTCTATCTAAAACAATGCTTTCATCGTACTTGAAAGGGTTTCTATAAAAAGTGCTGTCACGTTCTTGCCTGTTTATGTGCTATAGACAGAAATAGCTTCAAAGCCAAACTGTCTGCACTTAGCCTCTCTTTTATAAGATCAGTTGACATCCAAAGTGCTAAGATTATACATCTGTAACACTACCCTTGATGTTACAGATGCTGTGGTGTGAATTTTGTGGAGGGCACTGTCAGGTGTGAGTTGGTTGCTGGATTTTGTTCCTGTCGCTCATCTGCGGTGCGTGCTTCTGTTTTGTTTCTTGTGCAGGAAAGGCCAGCAGCTGGAGCAGTCAGAGCAGTACATTTTCAACAGGCTGGAAGGAGGGCGCAGCATGTTAACCATCCGCAACATCAGACAGGGCGACGGGGGTACCTACACTTGCAAGGCCACCAACAAGGCAGGATCTCAGGAGAGGGAGCTCTTCCTCAAGGTGTTCGGTAAGGATGTTGACATTGAAACAAGGCTGACCAAACAGGAAACCAGCGGTTGTTGCATATTATTTTTTGAGTTTAAGGTTAGAAACTAAGCAACCCTTACTGAGTGGAATTCATTCATTCAAGAGGTGAAATAAAATGTCTGGTGGGGCAAGGACATTTCTGGTGTATTACACTGCATTTCTACTGTTGTGATGAAAGGTAAAATAGTTCATAATTTGAGAAAGGAAAACGTACAGGTGACATGGTGGTGGTCTGGCTGCTATTAATTCATTATTACCTACATTTTTATTTATTACTATCTTACTACTAAATAGAAGACTATTGCCTGGATACCAATAGAGAAAAATTAGTCTTTACGTTCCTCTCATTTGAGAGGAGCAAAATGGTTGACTTAGAGAGATCCTCCACCTTATTTTGAAAACTCAACAAACATACTTTATTCTTACTCTGGATAAAATCACAGTTAATATTTCATAGTTCCAAGTTACATTCATCTCCATTGTACTGGGCTGGCAACAAAAATATAATGACATCTTGACCCTTTCTTCAGTCTTAACCTAAAATAACACAAATGCTTCCTAACATTTAAAAAGTTTGTTTTCATTTTACAATATCCGTCAATTTGTGCTCCTCCAAAGTGTGTATAAGCAAGTGTAATAGCATTGCCCATGACAGTAAACAGTGTTTTATGTTGATCCATAAAGCTTTATTGTAAGGACCTCCACAAATTCCTTTTCATAAAAAAACTATTTTTCAGAATCATGAATGTCTAGATATGGCCCTTAGCCCACCACAATAACAACTGCATCAATATGATATATTCCAGCTGAAAGGAAATATTTCATTTATTGCTTCATATTTCATTTACAGCACTCTAATAAAAAAATTTCAATTTATATTTTCATAAACCTGGTGGCTATCCCCTCACAGATCACTGTGATAGTACATATCCTTGCTCATGAAAATGTATGGGGATTTGTGCTCCAGTCATCAACATCCTTTCAAGATGTGAGAAGCGCTTGTTCTTCAAAATGCACATTTAAATGAAGACGTTAAAAGGGAGGGAGGGGTTCAGCTTTTCACTGTGTGGTGGGGAAATGCAGTTGTAAGTTAGTTTTATTACTCTTGACAGCCCAGGCGGGAGGAGAACAGGGCATTTAAGTCAGACAAGGTGTGTGTGCAGGTGTGTATGTGTTTTCCATTCATGTTTAGGTGTGTTTTTTCCATTTTCATTTTCTGAATGCTATTAACTTATCGACTCATCATATTAAATGATTTTAACAGGAATATAATGTTAAAGCTTAAATTCTAGGATCACATACATTACAGGCAAGCTTAGACAGTGCACACAGTAAATGTCTCCCTCCTCAAATGTATATGATTACATTATTATAGGTGATAAAATTAACCAAAGCAGTTCGATTTTCAGCACAAAATGAGAGGAAAGATGTGAGAAAAAGGAAGGTGTGATTCAGGAGGGAAAAAAGGAAAATGAAAGAATTTTTTAAAAGAGTTTTGAGAGCAGAGGATGGAGAATGAGTTGTTACAAAGCTGCAGCAGCTGCTGGATATTCACTTTCACAGATGGGCTTCTTCATGTAGACCCATGACCATGTGTTGCCACGAACAGGTTATTGTGGCGATTAATTGCTTGAAGCTTTTTCATTCCTGTTTCACATTCATAGACTTAAACACTTCCACATCTGGGGGCCCAGTATCACCACAGTGTGCTTTGTGGCTTCTTTGTGGAGTAGCTGTTGCAGCCCTCGAGCTGTAAGTGTTAGTCCCATCAGGTAACAAATTTACAAATCCTAATACGGTGAAGGCATGACCCGCCCTACTCTGCCTCTGTCCCACTCTGCTTTACCTCTGATTACCTGTATTTGCTAGGACAGGTGAAGCTAGGAAAGAAAGGTTGGGGGTGGGTGACATGCTACACGGGGCACACGCTCTACGAGAGGAGCTGCCCTGCACCCCTACCTCCATTCTCATGCCTAATCCCAACCAACCTGAACTGACGAAGGCAACAAGTACTAACCAATCAGAGGCAGAGTAGGGCAGGTCATGCCTTCGCTATAGTAGGATTGTTAATTTTGCTTACAGGTACTATCAGTCTCCCATGATTACGTCAACTTGTCCTTGCATCATTTGTTGCCATAAGAAAAAAATCCACCATTCACACTGTTATAAATAGCTACATTAGATTTCTTGGAGCCGTCTTGATCTTTGGTTAATGACCACAGCTGTACTTTGTGTTTAGTGCTAATTAGAGGGCTAACATGTAAACTAACATGATGAACATGGTGAACATTATACCTGCTAACCATCAGCGTCTTAGCATTGGCATTGTATGCATGTTAGCAGGGTTAGTGAGCCTGTTAGCATGCTGGTGTTAGGTAAAGCCTCACAGAGCAGCTAGCATGGCTGTAGACTCTTAGTCTGGGTAAGCTGTTGTTCATACATTGCTTTAAAGGAAAGATTCACCATTTATATGTTAAAACTCACATGTTTTTTGTTTTTGTTCGGTGGTGCATTTTCCATTGTTTCCACGGAGAACTATCTAAATGTAGACAACAGTCAACAGTTTAAGAGCAGATCATTTTTCAGCTATCTGAAGCATCAACCGTAAATGTCAGGTTTTGGTAGAAGAGCAAGGTGCTTCTTTATAAACTCTCAATTTTTCAGCAGTCATACAGGGAGACATTTATCATAGAGGAAACAGAGATGCACATCTTTCTGCAGACAGAAGCCTTTGAGTTTAGCCTTAAAGAGCCTTAGAGTCTTTGTGATCTGTTCTCAGGAGTCTGTGATAAAGCATCCTCTTCTCTTATTTTCATTATAAGTTGGCTGAACACATCTTGGCATAGTTTTCCTTTTTGTTGACTAGAAACACATAATGCGCTACTTAGTGCTCATCAAGGTGAGTCAAGTTACTTACCAAAGTAAGTAAAATAACTCCTGCAATAAATACAAATGTAGAGACTGATCATATACATAATAGAAGACTGTCTGACGGTGGATTTCTTTCTGTTAAACGCATTAAACTTTGTAGAGTCGAATCAGGGATGACAGGAGATAATCTATGCTGACATTTGCTTTGTGAATCTGTAAAGCTGAAACAACAAATACACACATTATCATTATCAGATACAGTCATATTTTGTTTTCTAAAACCAGTGTGTGGGATAAGAGCTTTATGTAATGACAAATATTGCTATAGGGGGATGAAAATGCTGTTCGGCTGCAGAAGATAGCAGCAACTGTGGAATTAACTGTCTATAAACAGCTAAGAAATGCTAATGTCAATATAACTATTCCTCAGTCTATCATTAGCCAACAACTGAGATTTAAATTGTACCACAAATGTATTTATATATATTTCTATTGTCAAAAGGCTCTCTTATGTCATTATGTCACATTCTGCTCTAACACTGACAGCATTAATGGCATTTTCGTGGGTTAAGAGCAAAATGAAGCCTGGTTTTTTTTCATGCATGGAGTGTCAGGACTGACACTCTGAGGTTGCTAAATACAACATTTACAAGTATAATTATGACAATACTTATAATTAATATAATCCAATGTAATTATAGTTATTAACAAAAGTTAAAGTAAAATATTCTTGTTTTTTAATTGGGTTAGGGTTATTGTGTTAAAAAGAAACTTCAAACATCAAACTGAAAAGAATAAACTCAATTGTGTAAAAATACTCATGGAAGGTCAAATTAATTCTGGATTTTTATCTTTTAGCACACAAATGCTTCTCAGTTCCTTCCCATTTAGAGTTGAAATGTTTTAGATAATGCGTTATTAATAATGTTCCCTGCAGAGTGGTTTTTGCACCATGCTTGATAAATGAGACATATTCCATTTAATATTTGCATGATGAAGGGCATCTGGGGCAAAACGGCTGCAGATAAGGTGATGATGAAGAACTGGTTCAGACCGGTCTCAGCACTATTAACAGTTTTATCTGTGCATGTGTGTGTGGGGGCTTTGAATGTGTATTTGTGTTGTATTACTGAGTGAAAGTGAAGTTTTAATAGATGTGGACGATCAAAAATTAAAAAGCTCACATCTTCCTCTCTGCAGAAACCATCTCAACAAGTCATTTAGTCTCATTAAAGCTTTTTTTTCTCACAAGAAAAACTTTTTAATTTCCTAAAACTTGTTCCCGCTGCAGTTTCCTTTCGTCTTGACACAAAACAGAGTCAGGCTCATTGTTGCACTATAATGAAGAACTTGGTTGTAGATGATGTTCAAAGTACGCTGGTTTGTTGTGAAAGTGAAATGTTTAAAATTGCAAATCAGGTTAACTTGTTTTAGGAACATTTAAGAATTTAGTTGTTGACTAAATAACTTGGTTTGTGTTTTTTTGTTTTTGTTAGTTCTGTTACTGAAATTGTTGTTTATTTTAAAAGCTTAAATCATATTTGTTGAGATTTGGGGCTTATTTTTGTGGTTTTCCATCCTACCTATTGAAAACATTAACAGTGTTTTTGTGTTTAGTTGTGTGTGCTTTTTTGCAACAACTTGAATGAATTCTTCTTTCGCAATGCTTTCTTCTAGATAGTTCTACTTTGTTTATCTTCAAGGCTTTGTAGTGGTTGGTGCTGTGCTGTACTGGACTATATGATGTATGTAAATGGGGTGAACAGTATATTTGGGGGTTTTGTTTTAACTTAATCCTTCAAACAGGGTATTTTCACCTTTAGAGAAAAGGATTAAAGGCAAGCGTTAAAGCTAGAGTTATTATTGGTCTGTTCACTGAAGACCCTTGCAGGTAGTAATACGTGTGTGTGTGTGTGCGCACGTCTGTTTGTATGTTTGTGTGACCCCATGTTTCAACAAGCTCCTGAAACCCCTCGAGATGGCTCCTCCACCCCGAGTTGAAGCCATGTGAAATTGAACACTCTGCAGATTTCCCCCCTGGGCGGTGTTAAAAGCCTCCAGTACAGTTGTCGCTATTTTCCCTCCACTTCCCTTTTCCTTTTGGATTTTATGCCATGCTACTTTGCAAGCACCCTGTTAAGGACTTCAGCGCAGTGTGTGTGGGGGAAAAAGAAGCAATCCATGATTCATGTGACATGCTCTGCGCCCTTGACATGCATGGCTTTACAGGGCTTGCTAACAGCATCTTATCAGGAGGAGGCGAGCGGGGAGCAGCCCTCCCGACAGCAAGCTTTGCAGCGCTCATCGTCTCACTCACTGGAGAGGCGTCCTCCACGACAAAAAAATCTATATTTATGTAAAACAAAAAAAAGTGGAATGCACACTGAAGGAGAGGTTTTGTGCTTAAAAACTTTAGCAAAGTGAGTTTTTGTGTTATCATCTAGGTCAAGGAATCTGCACAAAATGGGCCAGAGGACATTCCTTCCCGCTACGCCAAAACTGTTGAGTACGACTGCGGCGTATAAATGATCTTGGCCTAGACTGTCAGTACCAAAGTCATGCATCAGCTCTGTATTTGAACCTCGTGCCATCGGCTTCATCTCCCCTCCCGTATGAGTTAGATCTTTGACAGTTTCTCTCCTGCTCACCCTTTTACTTACTCAGTCCACCCTCCTCCCTCACACCTCTCCCCCTCGTTCCAATCTATTGTACTTTACTCACTTATCTAATTATTTTTTCTTTCTCTTATTCCCTTCTCCTCCCCCCTCGTCCTCTGTGGCCTCCAGTCCAGCCCCATATCACCCAGCTGAAAAACGTGACAGCCGTAGAGGGCAGCGCCGCCATGATCTCCTGTGTGGCTGACGGCGAGCCTCTGCCCGACATTTCCTGGAGGAGAGCCAGGGATGGCCAGACCTTCGTTGACGGAGACAAGGTAGAAACTGCCGAAAGGTCCATCTGGCTCTGTGTTTGTGTGCACCATTGTACAGCATGCATGCACAACTACTTATAAGAATGATAATTTCTGATTTGATTTATTTATGGATCTAGAAAACACACCAGTACAAATGATAACGTTGAATTAAGAAAACGTATTTTCCACGTGGTCCAAAATATGTAAATAGTTCGACCAAAACAAGTGATTTCGTTTTTTGAATCATTTTTACAGTCATTCTGTGTTTCACAGATGTTTAGAAAAAAAGATTTGATTAGAGGAAAGTCTGTGTACAAAAGATATTGTATTCATGCTTTCCTGCTGATTTCCCCTCAGATTTACAGTAGTGGAAAAAAGTACATTTACTCAAGTACCGTAGTGCACAAGTTCAAGGTACTTGTACTTAACTTCACTATTTCCATTTTATGTCACTTTATACTTTTATTGTGTGTAACATTTAAGAGGAGGATATATTATCAGAAATTTAATTTAATATTCCTAGGTGTGTACAATACAACAAATGCAAAGAATTGTTGATAATGTAAAACTAATTTCGGTTGTCAATGTCGGCGATCATCTCCCTGCTTCTGTGGTGGTCACATGTTGGCATCAGCGTCATGAGCTGGGAGCTTATGTGCTTTAGGCTGATGATCATCAACGAAGGAGTACTAGGTACTTTCAGACAGTGAGTGGTTGCTGCCGCTGCCTCTGCTGTTTCCAATGTAAACATGGCGACAGCGTGCGTGGTTTTTAGTGAGTTCCAAAGATCTCCTAAAATTACCTCAATTCACAGAAGACCACGAAATCATTTTACTGGAGTTAGAGTTCAAAAATGACTTAAATTGATGTTGCATTAAACGAATTTACAGCAGTACAGGTGAAATGTTTTTCTTGTGTTTCTGTTCTTACAGTGACCATTAAAATGTCATTGCTTTTATTTATGTTGAGAACATTGGACTATTTGTGCTTATTCTGATTGAGTACTAAAAGAAATAGCTGACATTAAAAGGTAATTACTTGTATATTTCCTCATAAAAATAAAAGCTGACATAATCATTCCCATCTGCCATACATTAAATGTTGCAGTTAGTCATATATTGCTAGCAGTGTGGCTCAGGGCCTGTCTAAAGGCAGATGCTGATGGTATTTACATTCGAGAGTTCATGATTAATCATTTTGTGATGAGTGTAGAGCTGTTATGTTATTTAAAGCAAGACAAAAGTCAACAATACTTCTGTGAATTAGCTTTCTATAACTGATGTACGATACCTCAAAGACCTTTTATAATATGAAAGCTGCCCTCAAAGAAAGTGTGCACATTCACCTTGGTCCATGTTTTTTACAGGGAGTGTTTAAATCTCTCGACTTTGCTGAGATTATTATCTCAAGGGAAATCAGCGCACGCATTTATTTTGATTAGCTCTCAGCACAAAGAAGCAGCAAGAACCTTGAAGTTTTCAGGTCAAACATTAATACTTTCAGTTTGAACTTTGGTCTGTACATCCCTTCGACTCTGCAACATTATATGTAATCCAACTGTAAGACTGTAAAGATACTAGGCCTCTGTTGTATATTTTTCTCTCAACATCCATTATTCACTTCCATAAAAGAAATTGAATGAGGTGCAGCCACATTTTCTTGGAAAAGTAATTATTCTTGAACGAGCTGCCATCAATGTCAAAATTATATGCACTTTCCATCACAGCTTCCCTGGCGAGGGGTTGAAGCTTTCATAGAAGCAGTTAAAAAAAAACAAAGATGGCAGACGCTCTTTTGCTCAGGAAAAAAAGGTCACCACAGAGATAAATGAATGTGTGCATTGGCTTGAATCGCTCGGGTTGATAAATCACAGCCGAAAATGAGAGTAAGTGCTTCTCTTCCCACAGCAAATGCAATTATGGAAATGCGTAGTGCAAACCCAACACACCTAAACATACGCAAAGACAAACACGGCTTGTGCAGCACGAGGCGTGATGGATGGCCGTAGTCATTTGGGTTTAAGGCAGGATGTTCCTCTCTCAATTTGCTCTCCAATCTGCATATCCAGCCTGCACACACTCCTCTCTTGTTGAGAGACATTAAGCTTCAAAGGGCCTAGTTTTACTCACTGCATAATGTTGCTTCCATTTTTCTCATTCTTTGCCAACTAACACTTTGACCCTCAGTAAGAGAACATAATGGGATGCAGTTCCTGGAATTTAATTACGAACCGAGGTAGGATCTGAGTCGGGGTATTGTTTCACTCCTCTGGTATTGTTTCAAGCAAGGTTAGCTGCACTGTAGCTCCTGTTCTACTCATGCATAACACCCAAAGCTGAAGAGCTGCTGACATTAAAAGTCTGTACTCTTGCTTAGGTGGTTGTTGACGTACTGCAGTGGTTCCCAGCCCTTTTCCTTAAGGGACCCCTTTTCTCTTATTTCTTAATCTGACTACCCCTGACTATATATTTCCCTGATATTTCATATTGGGGTAACGTGGTGTATGTGGTTCAATAGAATACAACTTTTGAAGAACGTTTTAACCTTTTCCTGAGCTATTCAAAAGTCAAACACAGACTCCCACACCTATTGAGATTATTGTTTTTTTT